AGCTTGTGCATATGAGCATATAAAATGATTCTTATCAAAGTAAGCTCCAAGACATGTGCTGTTTCCAGTTCTCTCTCTTTTTTCTTTTTTTATTGTGAAAATACCATACAGAGAGAGGGGTTACAATTACATGAGCAAGGTAATGAGTACATTTCTTATTGCTACCTCCTTTGTTTCCCCTTACCATCCCTGCCCTCCCATCTCCACCCTCCTGCCCCCAGCACACCCCCTCACCCCGTCAAAGTTGTAAAGTTCATTTTTTGACATAACATCTTGAACATCTCATTGTTGCGATGGGTCCACCTGTATCCCTATTTAAATAATTTGTTTTTTCCCTTCCCCTCCTCAAATTATACCAACATTAAATACAGTGAAAACAAAAACAAGGGGAGGAACATACAAAGCAACCCAGACAATCTTGTCTAGTGCCCCCAAGTCCAGCAATGTTTCAAGGCAGCTCAAATAGCGAGAAGGAAGTTTTTAGTTCAGGGCTGTATCACTGTGGGAGGACATGTGTATGTTGAAAGCAGCAATAAACTCCAACATTTTCTGCCTCCACCCTGTTTTCATGTGAAATCTTTGCCTGACCTTCCCCCTCACCTCACTGGCCAAATCTCCGGAACCTCAGAAAATAGATCAGGAGTTGTAGAGACTGGCCTGGTTTCTGCAGGAACTAATCCAAATAGGTGTTTCCGTTGCTATGCAAGAGGCTCTGACTAGACCTGCAGGAAATGGAGGCCATCTCTCCCAGAGTGCCAGGCAGGGAAAGTGGAGTCTGGGTCAGCACAACATCTCCACTGGATCCTGAATTTAGAATAAGACAGAAGTGCAAGGTTATGTACAAACATAGAAAAGCATGCTTTTTATTTGTATTTTGATATATTACCTATTGTTTATATTTCATGGTTTGGCTTACAATATATTTCATATTAGAAATAAAGGTATTTTTAAAATATAAATGAGTATCCAGGAGTCAACTACATTATTCTAACCAAGAAGAATCTTCACAAAAGCATAAGTTTTAGATCCTTCTGAAATTTTCTCTATTTCCCAGAACTAAATCTCAATTGCCCCACCATAGATAACAAGAACTGAACATCTAACACTTGCATAGGTCGCAACTGAGCCCTGAGAACACACCCTTCAACCCACTCTCATCCCTCATCTCCCCTTGCTCTTACCAGGGATCCAGAGCATTTACAGCCACAGGAGCTGAGAGAAGGACTTCATTTTAGGAGTGAGATGAGGAGTCTTGACAGGTCAAGGCAAGTTCAGAGCTGAGTTTTTATTTCAGACTTAGAAAGGAAGGCTGTCCTTAGGAAGCAATATGCAAATAGCCAGGTGGGGAGGGTAAGGCCTGCTCTTCTGAGAAAAGTGACATCGCTTGGTAATAACCAATAAAAATCCATGATGCTTGCAGCACTGGGAAGAAGGACCCACTGTGGAAGTATGGTTTTGAAGAGACATATGCACCTACCAACCTAATTCAGAATCAGAGACCCAGTGATAGTTAAGTTTATGTCTAGCATAGTCTCTAGGAAAGGAATAGATTTGAGGCTGATCTCTCCTGAACCTAATTCAGCTAGTCCAGAAAAAGACAGTGTCACCACCAGCAGCACTAATCCTCAAGGGAGCTGACCAATCAGTGCACAGATTTGAGCTACCTGAAGATGCATCTGATAGCATAGTTCACATCTGTTCAGGGATGTTTGCTATGAGTGTTAGAAACTCTGATTCCTAGGAACTTCCTATTAAGACTTAGGATAAAGAATTGACAGGGAGAACAAAATTTTCTCTTACAGGTAGCATCCTGATGGCCTTTATAATGGAAAAGGAAAATGATAGAAATGTTTATACATGAAAGTGTGACTATATATTCAATGTAATAGTTTTTGTATCCACTAATATTCTGCCATTCTTCCACACTATATTTCTATAGCAAATTAATCTAATAATTCTTTAAAATTCTCTCTTTAGAGTAATGGAAATATGAAATTGATGAAGATGTACCGCATTCGTATACTGACATGTTGACTTGAAATGCCCTAGTGTAAATACTTGTACATAATTTTATACATATACACATGATGAGCATGTATATATATACATATATATATATATATATATGTATATATATATATATTTCTGCTTATTTTAAACTAACATACAATCTTTAAAGGTCTTCAGTCCCAATCCGAAACAACTTGTTTCTGCTTATTTGTCTCAGTTTTCAGTCTCTAATTCCTGTCTCCAAAGATTCTGGACTTGTTGTAGGCAGAACATCACCTGGCAATTATGAGCAAATAGTGAAGAAGGCTTGTGCTGATGTCACAATGTACCCAATTTAGCCCTGCAAAGAGGTTTCTTATGGGAAATTATTAGACCATTGGCTGTCTATTCCTTGAGAGTATTAAAACTGCTCTCATGAAATGAGTCACATAATATTCACTTGTTATAATGTGAAGACAGCCATATGCTTGTCCATCTCAACTTGAAGCTGGTTTTCTATTTATAAATATTATTGTGACACAGACAGAACTGTCCTTGCCTGAGTACAAAACTCTTCTTCATTCAGAGCTTAGGTCAATTCCTCTGTTATAATAAAGGACTGGTACAGGGCTGTGTGTGTGTGTGTGTGTGTGTGTGTGTGTGTGTACATTTATCTGTATGTGTAAGAGAGAGACAGAGAATGACAGACAGAGACAGAGATAGAGAAACAAAGTCTGAGAAATATGGTTTAAATGAAAATGCTTTTAAATGTGTTGAGGAGTAAAAATCAAATCTGTAGTATCTGTTATACTCATTTCCTGAACACAAATTCCTAAACCTAACAGGGATCATTGTTAACTTGCTGTCATATATTCAGTAGATCTGAGGTGATTTTGTAATTTTGAATTTGTAACACGCTCTTGGGGATTCTGCTGCTGATTTTGATTTCTGGATAAATTCTGAGTAGAAAAGAAAATAATTTTGCATCTATGTTTAGTTGTGTTGCTTCCTATGTGTCAAGAAGGACTTTTCTGGGAGAAGTGTGCCTTATATATGTCTATAACTACTTCATTTTGCATTAACTGAGTTTGACTGAAACTCTCGCTATGGACAATGCCTTCCTGTATATATTCAGTGAGTTGCACCACGACCTCACTGGGTCATAAGCTGTGAACTCCTCTCATCACAGTCTCTTCTGGAAGTATATTTTCCAACACTGATGAGATCACTTCTAATCTCATCTGAGATTAGAAGCCATAAAAGATTCAATCTATTCAAACATAACCTTCAAAGAAACAGGAGAGCAGAGAGGAGAGTGAAGAAATTTAGAGCTTCAGTCTGCACAAGCAGGGGAGGCTGGACGGTCAGTGCATAACTATGGAACCTGCTGGGCTTTGTAGGTATTCGCTTCTGCCAGGAATGTAAAAACATGCTGTACCCACAGGAAGACAAGGAGAACCCCATCCTGCTGTGTGCGTGCCGGAACTGTGACTACCAGCAGGAAGCAGACAGCAGCAACATCTAACATCAAAAAATCAAGCACGAAGTGCACTAGCTGACCCAGATCATCGCTGACATGTCCCAGGACCCCACTTTGCCGTGAATCAAAGACCACCCATGCCAGAAGTGTGGCCACATGGAGGCAGTGTTCTTCCAGTCACACAGGGCCCCGGCTGAGGATGCCATGTGCTTGTACTACCTGTGCACTGAGGCCACCACTGGACCGAATGAGCATCCCTAACTCCCCCTGTAATAAGTGCCAGGTTCTGTGCCCATGAAAAGAAGAAATTTAGAACTTGATACACATTTCTTGTTTTTACTTCTACTTTTATTATCTCTCTGTAGTTGTGCAAAAAAAGTGTTATCATTAAACATGTCAGTTTATAAATACAATGCGTCTTGAATAATGTCACTCTTTTAATTTTTCTACTCTGTCCTTCCCTATCTAACTCCTTTCCTTCCAGAAACATGTCCATGTATAAAAATGCATATTAAATTATTAAATATGAATTTATGACTCTATATATGTATGGTATACGGAAGATCCTTTTCAGTCTACTCTTGGAAATACTGAAGTAATATGGGTCACTATTTTATCTGTACCTGTTATACAGTCACATAAGTGTCTTAAATATATTTTATTTATTCACATTTTTCATACTTTTATCTATGTGTGTATTTATTTAACTGGGCCACAAGCCAAGGGTGTTTTGACCATCTAAACACTGAATAAACATTAGAAAAAAATGATGTCCAATCATTCTAAAACAAGATACAAATTTATATTATTTCTCCTTTGTATTTCCTCAAGTTACTATAAAATCATTATTTCATTCTACTTCCAAGAGATGAAAAAATGGTATTGAGAAATATTAATTTGATATTCAGCATCAAAGAGAAACTAATTTTCTGATAATTAGATTAAAATGTTTCATATGTGGTTAACATATCAGTTGAAATAGTTTTTTTCAAAGATCTCATTGCTAAAGAACAAAATTCCCTTAGTAGAAGAAACTGATAAATGTTTAAGGTGCTTGACCTCCTTGTTAATTACATTGTTTACACCATTGCAAAATGTGTGCATATAACAAAACATCGTAATGTATTTCAACTACAATAGTAACGTGGCAATAAAAATTGTTTTCAAAACATTTTAGTGACTATTTTTTCTATACAAATTATTTTTAACCTTTTTCACAACTACACTACCTTGCTGTTAAAACCCTACTTTGAGTGAATGTGAATTTATAGCACACCCTGTACTTTCATGAGTACAGATGTACATTCTTTGTAAGTCAGAAGAGTCATTGTCAGGTGTGAGCTGCTTGGGATGAGCAGGTGGATTGAGAGTTATGGTATGGAGATGCCTCCATGTCCTTCTTCCTAATACTTTTCAGGGACCATTAAGTCTGGCTGCATCTGAGAAGCTTTGTGAGCAAGTGAAGGCACCAGGAGGAACATCTGGGGCTGTCCAACCTCTCACTTCAGCCCTGAGAGGTTTATGTTATAACTTATATAACTTCTGGAAGGTAACTATTAGTCTGCTGACAGTAATAAGTGGCAACATCTTCTAGCTGCAGGCTGCTGATGGTGAGAATGAACTCTGTCCCAGATTGACTCCCACTGAACCTTGAGGGGACCCCAGAATCCCAACTAGTTGTATAATGGTTCAGGAGCTTTGGAGCATTCCCTGCTCTCTGCTGGTACCAATGGAAATCATTTCTAATGCCCTGACTGGCCCTGCAAGTGATGGAAACTCTGTCTGTAACAGATGCAGACAGGGATGGTGACTGGGTCAATTTGATGTCATATCTGGCACCTGACAATGGAAACATAAAAACTTTACACATTTAATTAATTATGCTATACAAGTAGTTCCATGAAGAGCCAAGTAATCCCCAGCACTGTCCATCCTTACCTGGGAGCCAGAGCAGCAGGAACCCCAGGAGCTGAGCAGGGGCCTTCATGTCCAAGCTGTGTGCTGTCTGGAATGCTCTTCAGCACAGGGTGTGAGCAGCCTATGAACTCCTCTGGCTGTGCTCTGGGTACATGCAGATCATAAGGGGCTGGGTCAAACTGTAGGCTGGTAGATTTCAGTGACCTAACATAGACCTAGAGACCCCATGTGTCAAATTTGCCTCTATATATGTTTCTCCCTGATGAGGAAAAAGAGAATAATATTGTTTTCCTGTAAGAATATTTTTTTATTCCCACATTATCCATGACTTCTTTTTTTTTCTTTTTTCTCAACTTGGTTACTCAGAGGCAAACATTTCTTTCTTTTCTTCTTTTTTTTTTTTTTTTTTTTTTTGTTGTTGGTCATGGGGCTTGAACTCTGGGCTTGGATGCTATCCCTCAGCTCTTCAGCTCAAGTCCAGTACTCTACCACTTGAGCCACAGCCCAACTTCTGGTTTTCAAGTGGTTTACTGGGCCTAAGAGTCTCATGGATTTTCCTGCCCTGGGTGGCTTTGAACCGTGATCCTCAGATCTCAGCCTCCTGAGCAGCTAGGATTACAGGCATGAGCCACCAGCACCCAACAAGGCAAACATTTCTAAGAAAGTTAATTATAGAAGTGTCCCTCATTTGATATCTGTGGATTTTTTGAAAAAAGATGCCTAGAGCATTCGGGTTATTTCCCTGAACCACCATATAAGTCTAATAATGGTCTTTATTGTCCAGACAAAAATGTTATTAAACTTGATAATAGATGTGTAGGTAGAAAGACAATGAGATATATAGGAATATTTCAATAAACAATAACATTCTTGAAAAATATAATATGTGCAATTAAATTCGTGATCTGAGATGTATGGACTGTCTTCTGTTCTTTGCACTGGTGCCCTGTACTTTCTTATAAATGGCTTGTGTCTTTCTCTTCTGAATACTCTTACCTATCACCTCACTCTAAGACAGCTCAGATCAGGCAATTTTCTTTTATTTTTGGGGAAAGACATGGCATCATATCTAGATTTGTGTGTATTATGCATTTATGTGCCAGACAGTTACTAAGCTTTGGCAGGACATTTGTCTTCTATCTTAATGGAACCTGTTCCCTCTCAGAAGCTGAGATGTTCTCTAAAGCATGGGATCAACGCTACTTAAACTTCACTGTGCTGCTTAAGCCTGCATAGTCCCTCATCATTCATATCTTTTAGGTCTTAAGTAAAGACATATTGTGTGTACTTGGCCTGGGGCTTGATCATAGGGACTAGAAGCTTTTCTGAAATATTGTACTTCAAGATTGGTGCTTTATGTGCCTATTGGACATTCTCGTTTACCCTTCAGTGAAGTTTATCTTCAAGTTTTTAGCCCACTTACTAATTGGGCAGTTGTTTCTTTGAGGATTTGTAGTTGGGATATTTAATTTTTTGAATCCTAAGTATATTTTAGATATGAGGTCCTTGTTCATTTTATGGCTACTGAAGATCTTCTCCCAATCCGTGGTCTTGAATTTCTAGATAGCCTTTGGCAGTATTGCCATTTTTATGATGTTAATCCTCCCAATCCAGGAGTGTGGGAGGTTTTTCTATTTCCTTAGTTCTGCTTTAAGTTCCTTTTTCAGGTTTTTAAAGTTTTCATTATAGAGGTCCTTCACTTGAGCCACAGCTTCAACTCCAGCTTTTTTGTGGCTCATTAGAGATAAAAGTCTCATGGACTTTTGTACCAATGCTAGCATTCAACCATGATCCTACAATCCCAACATCCTGTGTAGCTAGAAGTACAGTTATAAGCCACTGGTTCCATCAGTAGAAACGCTCTTAGTGACTGTATTTAGGCCCATATGATTAGAAAAGACACAGAAGGGAGAAAATGCAACATTGTCAAGTGTGAGGGAAATGAACTGTAGTCACACAGCATGGAAAAGACATCCTCACTATGGGGAATGGAGGACAATCTAATGGAGGTAGAAAAACTGATGAGCTCCCTCAGCAGGGAGATCAGCATGCGGGACACAGACCTTCCATGGTGCAGATGTCATATCCTGGGACAAATAAGCACATAACACATAGAAATAGACATTATAATTCCAAATAGCTGCTGCAGGTGCATGAGGATAAACCTGCTCCTCAAAGACCAGTAAACCACAGGTAATGCACTGCATAACTAAAGTCCTCTTCACTACAATTCACTATGTGAACTGCATCTGAGTCTTCGTGACAACATCTTTTACTTCTACATTAACGCTAATGCTAATATAACTGCTCCAGGAAGATTTCTGTTTGTTTTTTTTTTAATTACAATTCTCTTTTAGCCTCTTTTTATGATGATTTATAATCCTACCTAAAAATTTACCTGTCTCCTCCACTCCTCTGAAATTTCACTTCTAATCTTCTCACATGGTTCCCCCAAATCTCTGCTATTGTCTTTTGCAGTAAGTTATTTGCTCCCTTTATCATGTGAACTGCTGAACAGACAAAGCTGGTACTAAATAAAACAAGGCAAAGAAGCTGGATGCTGTGTAGATGTGAAAGCCACTTGGTAAACTTAGGGGACACATTAATAGATTGACAAAGAGAGGCCACAAAAGCATTGACACAAGTAGGGTTGAAAGAAGCCAGATTCTAAGGATAACCTCTGAAATTTTCATGATATATGCTCCAGGGCTGGCTTCAGCAAATGTGGCATCTGGCTTGTGAATTTTCAGTCCACACAGACTCAGGCACCAGAATCTATGGAAGAATTTGGAATAATGATCTCAAACCAGAGCTGTGGGCAGGTTTACACTTCATGGGTTTTAAGTTTCTGCCTGACAGATGAAGCTGCTGATCTGTATGAAGGAGGATACTGGAAGACTTTCCTGTGGATCTTCCTGGGAGAAGGAAGTACAGTTCAGAAGGAAACTGTTTATGGTCTAGGCCATGAACCTGAATGAGGTCTGGCACAAGGTTCTATATCATCAGAAGAAAAGCTACATAAACTTTCAAGAGGAAATGAAATGAAAAAGGATAAAGATAACAGGAACTATGCTAAACATGGTGGGGAGCTGAATATTCATCTATTGCTGAATGGAATTTAAAATGCTACAGAAATGTTAAAATGACCTTGAAATTGGGTAACAAGTTTGACAAAAAATAATGCACTTATTACCTTGTTTATGTAACTGAAACCCCTCTGTACATCACCTGGATAATAAAAAATATATGAACTTGGACATTGCCTTCTAAACTTGAAAGCTCTGTTAAAATACATTTCAAAAAAATAAATGGTAGGGCACTTATCCCAGAGTAATGCATTTCATTTTCACATAGAAACTTGTAAAGAAATAGTCTTAGAATCCTTATCAGTAGTAAAACTAAGAAACTACCCAACTATTCCTAACTGATAAAAAATAAAAGAACATGTGGCTCTTCAACCAAATCATTCTATTACTAAAAACAGGAGCTAAACTATCAAATACATTGGCTGGATGAACCATAAGAAAGCTATACTGAATAATACAGCTAATCTTAAAATGGGCCTTTTTTACATATTCTTTTTATGAAGTGTAGGGCAGGGCTGAGGGAAAGAGGGAATTCTATGGCTCATGGAAAGCCCCAGGAGTCAGTGGCATTGATAGAGAACAGTTCCTCCATGATGGTGTAGACAACAGAAAAACAAATATGTTGTACCTATGTATTGTCAACATTCACACATACATGTGGGCTGCTCATGTGATAAGCACACCCAATGCACACACATCTGCACATGAACAAACACCAAAGTGTGCAAGTGACTACTGCAGAATCTCTATGGATTGAACCAATGTCAATTTCCTGGTTTACATAATGTAACAAAGTTATACAAGATATTGGTACTGGGATAGGCTGGAGGATGGATGCAAAAAACCTTCTAGTAATTTTCTTTGCAACTTTATGGACATTTATAATTATTTGAAAATAAATAATAAGAACATATAATAGTTTTCTTATTCCAAAGCACTGAAGAAATGACATATGATTTTTCAGTAGGGATTAAAAAATAAAACAAGGAACTTTCTAACTCCTTCACTCTAGTGGCAGAAATGTCTGGATACTGAAGTAGACTGCTGAATGCCAATCAGTAAGAGATATCTGACACTCTGTATTTGCACCTATAGAACTACAGTAGGCACAACACAGTAAAGCTTATATTTAAGTATTATATTATGTATTATATGTTTCTGTTCTTTGTCTACACGTTGTATAATTAAAAGCATGGCAGGAAATGGGTATAATCTAGATCCATGGTATAACTAACTCTACATGGAAGAATCCAGCAGGGGAAGTCTTCATCTGGATGTATGTGTCTGTGGATTTTTGCACTAAATCTCTGTCGTGTTTAGAAAACTTTTTTTAGATATCTAATATCTAAACATGTTGATGAATTATTAAATAAATATGACTAAAAGCACGTTCTTTAGAATTGTAAAATAAAATACCAAAAGAAACATTTTAAAAATAGATTTAAAAAAATAAGATAGAATCCTGTGCCTGAACTGAGCTCCAAAAGCCAAGGAAAATAATTGTTCCCATCACAGTTTTTTTCTATGTAAGATCCATAGCTAAAACAGTATAACCTATAGCAGATTAATTGTGCTATATTTATATAATAGACACTACACGGCAATGACATTCAACAGCTGGAAGTCGGGTCTAACCTTGTTCCATCTCTTGAATGGTGAGCACATGGAGACTCATCTGCAACTCATTTGTGAAGTAAAAGAGGGGTGGGGAATTTCTGTGTCTCAAGACAACCAAATAATCATAAAATTAAAAATGTTAGCAAAGGAGTAATAAAAATTGATCATAGAAAGTTGTGTCTTCATTTCTGTTAGGGATTCTATAGCTATTAAATGATGTCACCATTTCTGCATATAAGAACAATTCAGAATTAAGAAATAAGTAGCAAGGGTAATAGTATAGGGTTTTTCCTTTGTCATATGCTCAGAGACTCAAGATGTGGATTGAGAAATCCCTTTGAGTACTCAGTAAAATTGTTAGAGAATTTTCTGAACTAG